AACATCCATCCAGGCATAGTAACAAGAGCTGTAGGGCTTGGTCTGTGACAGCAGCGTAAGGCAGTGGCATTTAATTTTTGGGCCCTGCGGGATGGATGATTGGTGAGGCGCTGGTCCATGAGCTGGATCGGACCCTGCACACCAGGTTTGGGCCTGGACCCCCATCCCGCTCCTAACCTCCTGGGATCAGGCCCTGCACTGCCCCTGCCTAGCCCCATGTGCCAGAATTGGACCCCGGAGTCGTGCATGCCAGGATCTGACCCCATGCCACCCTACATGCCTGATCTAGCATTCAGGGCCAGATGACATGGTGCTGTGGGGAGAGATCTGGTCGTCAAGCTGGGGACTAAGCACCTCTTGTGTAAACCCAAGGCAGCCTGTTCCACTGGCAATACAGTAGCATTAAGGCCATTGGTATCATGGCATCATTTTTGTCTCTAAACAGCGCTGATGAAATCTGGCCCTTTGCTCTTCCTTCTGCTCTGTAACTGGGAGGTTTCTTCCTTTTACAGGAGCGTGCTTCTCTTTGAAGCTCACTCCACTGCCCGACGTAATCCTGCTGCACAGCATGGTGAGTTTTGAAGAGCCAGGGTCCATAGCTGAGTGGGAAATGGTTTTCCTGTCTCCAGAAAGTTTGTGACCATTAAGCCAAGAGCTAGGACACGTGTCTAATATATAGGAGATCTGGGTACAAGTTCTGCTGTGTCTGATTCAGCTGAGGGGCTTGCATCATAGAGTCACGGGCTGTGTGTAGACAAAACAGGGGCCCTAAATTGAAGCACTAGGTTTAAAAAAAACAATACTTCAATTTAGGGCTGATTAAACCCCTGTGTTGTGCACACACCCCGCTGACTTACCTGCCTCTCTGGCAGAGAAGGGAGGACAAGCTGCCGGCGGGCAGAGCAGTCTCTGGGCTGCAGGGGGGCTGGTGCTTCCCTTCCCACCCCTTCCTCCTCCCCCCAGGCGGCACCTGCCGGGGGGGCACTGCAGCTGTGGAGGGAAGCGCCAGGCTCCCGCGCCGCTCAGGCAGGCAGGTAGGCTCTGGGGGCGGGGGAAATGGGGGAGATCAGGCTTGCCGCTTTTCTTGGGCAGAGCTTGCTTTCCGGGGCTGCTGCTAGGCTGCTGCAGGGTTTTCTGCAGAGCCGCGGAGCTGCACAGAGCCCGGTACTTCGCTCCGCAGCTGTAAGGCAGCAAACTAAAACTCCTTGAAGGAGTTTTAGTTTGCTGCACCCCAAGTCATTTAAGGCACAGTACAGCACGCAATTTCCTGTAGCGGCTGGAATTAATGCACCATACACCACCAAGGCGTGCAAACACCAACACCATTAAAGAAATGCAGAAGCATTTAGCACCCTTTAAGTGTCATGCACACATGCCTTTTATTTTGTCTATACGCGGCCATAGAAAAATAGAGCTAGGAGATCTCCAGAAGTTATCTTGTCCAACCCCTCACTCGAGGCACAATCGCATCTATCCAAACCATCCCATAAATCCTTGTCTAATCTATTCCTAAAACTACATAATCCTGTCATACAACTACAAGGCATATTGCCCCCAAACACCAAAAGCACCCTACCCTGCCACTGCTAAAACAGTGGGGCAGGGGCAGCTCCTATCTAGGCAGCCCAGGTGGTGCGTGGCTCTTTTTGGGGCTGCCAGTGGCCCCAGCCCCACAGTATTGGCGGGGGCTGGTACTGCACAGCCCCAACCCCACATGCCCCATGCCTGTTCCAGGCTCGTCTGCCCAGGCTCGGCAGCAGCAGCATGAAACAGAAGCTGCTGTTCAGCACTGGGTAGAACCGTCCCCTCCACCTCACCACTGCCAATACTTCCTGGTGCAGCCTTCCAGAGCCTGTGCAGGGCTGCCTTGCATATGCTTTGCGCTGCCACCGCTGCCCCACTGGGCAGCCCAGAGGAGGTAGTGATGTGGTGTATCATAAAATCATAGAAGTAGGGTTGAAGGGACCTTGTAGATCTTCAAGTCTGACCCCCTGCCTGGGCAGGAGAAAAACTGGGCTCAAATGACTCCAGCCAGGTAGGCATCAAGCTTCTTAAAGACCCCCAGGGTAGGAGCCAGCACCGCTTCCCTTGGAAGTTGGTTCCAGATCCTAGCTGTCCTGACAGTGAAGTAGT